CTTGGGAAGCCGTCCGGTGCGAGAATTCTGCGAGATCTCCTTTCACCCAAATTACTGCCGCCCTAAACCCGAGCGGGATACCCTCCTCAGCACGGAGCAGTGCAATAAGATCATCTGCGAAATAGTCTGCATGGTCATGGCGCTGTTCAAACCTGCGACCCTCAGCAAGTTGGGCAAGCTGCCGGCCGAAACGGTTGAGAGCGGGACACGTTGTGTCCCACCCCCTGCAACCGCACCTACACACGTCAAGCGCGCGCTCGCATCCGAAATAATATCTTTTAGATGTGACCAGGTCAACTACCCACATGCCAAGAATGCTGTCCGCCCTGCCCGCAATCATTGACGTGTACCTGACCCCGCCCATGAAAACTGCGAGGGGCAAGGGGTGAGGATCCCCCCTGGCGAGGGCAGCGCGTACCACGAGATGATCATGGTACGCCCTTGGCCACTCCATAGCTGGAACGGCTGCAAGAATCGTTGGGTCTTTCTCAATGTCGCTGTTGATAACCTCCCACACGGCAGAAAAGGGAATGAGTTGTACTGTGCGGTGTGTGTCGTGATGTGACATGACGGGCACTGTTTCCCAGATGATCGGACCAGGGCCCGGTAAAACCGCGTCGAGTTTACGCTGGTATTTTCCTGATTGTTTTCCAGGGGCTAGAGCGTATCGAGAATAATCAGCTCCTAGAACTCCTGCTTCGTGACAATAGTGGGCTGCTACGCAGAGGTCCTGCGCTGAATGTTTGCCCGTTGCCTTCAACGAGACTAAATGTTTGAGCAGGTTGGCGCCAGCGCGTCTCCATTTGGCTAGCGCCAGCTCGCGCTCCACCGCGGAAGCGCAATCCATCGAAGCTGCCGCGGCGCGTGGTCTGCGCAGAGGGGGGGCGATTCACTGCTGCGAACTCGGGCAACTGATTGCGGCAGGTGCACTCGCCATGTGCGCGGGGCCCACCCCTGGAGACTAAATGCTAATCATGTGTAGCGGGGGGGGGGGGGGTAATATCTCATGGAATCAACGCGCGCACTGCGCGCCCCGAAGGATAGCATTCTGACCCAGCCCCACTCAGCACAGGCTGTATCTCATGGGCAAAAACCTCGACAACGCTCTGAACTGCGCTCGTGCCGATCGAAAGTGTGTCAGTGCAGCTGCAGAAGCGAGCGGCCACGGCGTGCCTGCCTGAAATCTGGTTCGTTTGCTAAAAAAACCTCCTCCTCTTTCTCATTTGGCCCTCTACCCCCCTCCATCGGGTTTCCATCGGTCGTCCATCGGTCGTCCATCGGTCGTCCATCGGGCCCTCCGCCGACGCACCGGCGCGATCCATCGGTCAAATTGCGAGGATGTCTCGGGCGAGAGCTCGATTCCATCGGTCCTCCATCGGTCCTCCATCGGTCTCGTTTCCATCGCGTTTCCATCGGTTGTCCATCGGTGTCGTTTGGCGCTCATTTTGCGTTTTTGTTGTTTTTTTGTGTTTCAGGCAGGAATTATTCGAGACTACGCACGCGCGAGCGTCGCGGCTACACCCGACTGCAGTCAGCCCAGTCCTTGAGGCAGGTAAGGGCGGGCGGTCGGGAGAAGGGCGGGCAGGGGGTAGGAGGAGTAGGACGATAGGGAGGGGGGGGGGGGGGGGGGGGGGGGGGGGGGGGGGGCTTCCTCACCCAATCCTTCTCCTCCATCCTCCTTCCCCATCGTCGTCTCCCCTCTTCATCCTCAATCCTCCTCGTCCCCATCCTCATCTTCATCCTCCCCTCGCTCTCGTGTCGACTGTGTCGCCGCGACGTCGCGCGTGCAATATGCGCGCTGATCGTGGGCAGCACATCTGAAAAAATCACAGGCTCAAACGGGACAGTGATCACTGCGCCGCGCAGTGATCGTTCAGCGATCGCCCTCCCAGGCACGGCCCCCCCAATCGTGCATCATGCGGCGCGCTGCAGCCTGATCCGAGGTGGTAGCCCACGACCATGTAGAACTGGCTGGGCATCAGGCCCCCGCACTCGAGGGCGCTCCCTTGCGGAGGTCCAGCTGGTTCTTCAGGAATTCGATGTGGTCCTGGAGCCTCAGCGATGCCTTGTCGACCTCCATGTTGAACGCCTCGAGCTTGGCGGTGAAGACATCAGCGCCGTGCAAGTGGACCATCTCCTTCTTGAACGCCGCGTGGTCGGTCGACTTCATGAACTTGTCGTTGAAGCTTCCAGTGGCCAGCTTGCCCTCCAAGTCGGCGTGGAGCTCATCGAACGTCGCGACGTCTTTAGCCGCGAACTCGACAGCGTTGGCGGCGACCTCATCCTTGAACGACCTCGACTGGGCCAGCAAGCAGGCGACGTTGTTCCGCATCTGCTTCGCTTTGTTCCCCGTGCTTCCCTTGAGAGACGCGAGGCCCCGCGGCCTCTCACGTTTGGCGCCCTTGGCACCTTGCTTGGGCTTGCCCTGCTGCGCCTTCCCCTTGCGGGCCAGCGCCTTCGCCTTTGCCTTCTCCTTGGCCAGCGCCTTCGCCGTTGCCTTTGCCGTAGCAGCCGCTGCAGTTGACTCCTTCTCACGGGGTTCCTCAGGCTCGCACTCAACCGCCATCCCACACTTGGAAATCTGTCGAATCTCCTTGCCCACCGTCCCCGCGGCAGCCTCGGCACTGGCCTTCGGCGGGGTGTCCAAGCTGCTCTCGTTCGCGGGCACGGCGTCCTTCTCGTTCCCGATCTTGTGGATCCACTCCATCTCGAGCTTCCACTGCTCCTCGATGCCCTCTTCCTCCTCTTCGACGGAGTAGCTCCACCGAATGCGGCGTGTAAGCGCATGGAGTGTGTAGTACTTCGGGCCTGCCATCAAGCACGACGCTGCATTGTCCACGGCAGCCGCGACGCCCTCGCACCCCCCCCCCCCCCCCCCCCCCCCCCCCCCCCTCGAGCCAGCCGACGCGCCAGAGGGGGAGGCATGTCCTGAAGGCGTTCAAGGGACCTCCTGCCCCGAGACATCATTGCCACCCTGATGGGCAGAGCTGCGAACGGCTGCACGTCGCCCACGCGGTTGCGTGCTCACGTGCGTAGCCCTTCCCCAGAGTGGCAATTCTGATCAATGGCGGGGGTCCCTTGAACGCAATCCTGTCCTCTCTTTGACGCTCTTCTTCCAGCGGAGGTCCACCTACTTCCCCGCCTCCACGGCCTCCTCGTACTTCTCCTGCGCCCAGTTGCTCCTGAGCGCGCGCTTCGCCTCGGCTCCGATCTCGGACTCGCAGCGCTGCTTGAACTTCTCATCGGCTCTACATTCCCTCCCCCATCTGAGGGCAACTGTATGTATCTGCCCAGACGTCGGAACTTCGAAGCCTCTGTTTTTTTTTGTTTTACATCTTCCCAGAACTTCAACTCGGCAGCAATCGCAGCGTTCGTCTCCATTGCTGGATTCGCTGTCTCTGGCGCCTCCTTGACAATGCTGTTCATGGTCTGCTGGGCAATCGTGTAGAGCGTGTTCGTTGCCTGCATGATGCTGCCAGCGGACGGCTTCTGGATGTTCTCGGCCTGGGCGCGCTTCTTGAGGAAGTTGGCGTTCCTGAAGTCCGCGAGGTCATAGCCCTTCGCGGCCTTCGAGGGCAACTCCACCGCGACTCCATCGCGCATCCATCGCAAGCGATGGAGTCGCGATGGAGTCACGGTGGAGCCCTCGCACTCCCACCATCCTCCCACCGCCTCGGATGCTGTTCTGAAGTTAGTGGGTGGGTGGCGAAAGTGCCCCTCGCGCCTCCGCAAGGCCCCCCTTGCTCAAGGCGTGGATTGCGGCCTCGACCTTCGAGTAGTTGTACAGGGGCGTTGCGGGCGCGCCCTCTTGGGGCGCGCGCTCGCTCGCTCTCTTGACCTCCCCCCCCCCCCATCCCCATCCTGTATTAGCCTCCGCCTCCTCCTCCTCCTCCTCCCCCTCCTCCTCCTCCTCTCCCCTCATCTCCTCCCTCCCCCCCCCCCTCCTCCTCCTCCTCCCCCTCATCTCCCCCCCCCCCCCCCCCCCAGGGGGGGGGTGGGGGTGGGGGGGGGGCGTCTGAAACGCGTCTGAAACGCGTCTGAAACGGCCAAGCCTCCTCGTCATCGTCATCCGCGACTGCTGGAGCCTGAGACGGCGCGGACGGCGCCGCGGGCGTGCCGCCGCCCTCGGCGCTGGACGCCTCGGCGGCCGTCGCCTCGGCGGCCGTCGCCTCGGCGGCCGTCGCCGCGGCGTCGTCCTCGGCACTGGTCGGCGCGCCGCCGCCCTCCCCTCGGCATGGGGCAACGAGCCGACGATCGCATCTCCGATGATCTCCTCGAGGCTGTCGGCGGGCTGCTCGCCCGCGTCCTGCGCCCCCTGCTCGGCCGCGCTCCTGGGGCCCTCCTGAGGCGCTCGCTTCCGAGGCGGTCCTACGAGCGGCGCGTTGTCATCAGACTCGTCGTCCATCGCCGCCCCCTCGGCCTGCTCATCAAGAACGATTGCGCGCCAGCGGCGGCTGGCGTGTTCGAAGCCAACATCCGCCAGATACGGGTGTCTCTGAAGTTAGCTGGTCTGAGCGTGAACTCAAGAGCTGCCTCTTTCATGGGGCTGCCTGACCCAGTATCAGCTACGTGTAAATACATGATTTGAAAACCATCACCGTCGTCGCCCCGAACAAAACCTGACACCTTGTGTCGGGCCAGAACCTGTGCCTCGCGGGCATAGCCCCGCAGGTTTATCAGCCTGTGACTCCCTGACATTTGCCCCAAAGCAGGATCGCTCGCAATTCGCAATCATCAATCGTCCTTCTGCACCCCATCATCCTCCTCGTCCTCATTGTCCCCATTTCCCGTCTCTACCTCATCGTCCTCGCCCCTACCCCCCCCCCCCCCCCTCCTACTGCGTAGCCATTTTGGGCCAAACTGTTCGGCGTTCGAAGTCGTTTCGATCGGGCGGAGGGGCCTGCTGGAGCGGGGGGCGAGGGGGGTGGCGACGCTGCAGTTTTCATTCTTCAGATTCCCCCCGAATCTGTTCAGAGAAAGGTTTGACCGCGGCGCCCTGCTCACTCGGAATCCTCCGAGATCGCCGCGGCCTTGGGGATGAAAGTGGCGCCCGCGCGCTGCTTGGCCCTGACGCCCTTGACGGGCGTGACGGGGCAGGCCTGCTCGGGCTCCACGACGGGCACCGCGGGCTTGGAGGCCATCTCGGTCGTCTGGGCGCCCGTCTGCTTGGCAACCTTCTTCGGCTGGATGTCGCCTGTGGTCGCCGCAGCAGGCCGCTTCACGGCCACCTTCTCCGTCTTCTCCTTCGGGAAGGTCGCGGCATGCCAGCAGTCCTTGCGCTTCTTCGCCTCGGCCTTGCTCTCGGCGGAATCCCTGCCCAGCTTGCCGCGTGCGAATCCGTCGCCGGGCTCTCTCAAGAACGTCTCGGCCTTCTGCACATCATGTGCATCAGAGTCCGTCGTCGCAACCTGTGTGATCTGCCGCGTGCCGATGTCGCTGCTGTGGAACTAGAGCTGCAGCATCATGCTGCGCTTGCGGCCCTTCTCCTTATTCTCCTTCTCCTCGTTCCACCTCAAGACAAGCCCCCCGTCGAACGTGTTCACGTTCCACTCTGCAACTTTGTCCAAACCATTAGATGCAACTTCTCCTGTGGTCGGCCTCTTCGTCATCTGGCCAACCGTGATGGTCTCGATCGTGTACGTGTCATCGGAGCCGTCCGTGTTCTTGAACTTCACCGCGGGGCGTGCGGTGTCGTCGCAGTCATCAGAGGGCCTGCAGGGCGCTGTCATCGATTTGATCTTTTTCGTCATGAACTCTGCGCCGTTGGGCTTCTTCCAGACCTCGCGTCTGCAGGCAGCCTAGGGGAAGTGGCGAAAAACCAACAATAATTCCCTCCTCCTCCTCCTCCTCCTCTTCCTCCTCCTCCTCCTCTCCTCCTCCTCTTCCTCCTCCTCCTCCTCTCCCCCTCCTCCTCCTCCTCCTCTTCCTCCTCCTCCTCCTCCTCTTCCTCCTGCTCCTCCTCCTCGTCCGCCTCCTCATCCTCCTCTTCCCTTCGCCGCCCGCCCCCCCCCCCCTCCCCTTGATGGGGAAGGGGATGGGGGGGGGGGGGTCGGAGGGAGATACGGGCCTGAGGGTAGGGGGGGGGGGGGGGGGGGGGGGGGAGGGCGGGTGAGGGAGCGGTCGGGGATGAGGAGGAGGGGGGGGGGGGGGGGCGAGGGGGAGGGGGAGGACGAGTGCAAGAACGAAGAGGAAGAGACATAGGATGAGAAGGAGGAGGTGGAGGAAGTCGAGTGAACGAACGAAGAGGATGAGGATTAACGACAAGGAGGGCGAGGGTGAACGACATGGTTAGGACAGGGAGTGCGGAGCCGAGTGGGCAAACGAAGTGGATAAAGGAACGAAGATGGGCAGAAGGAGGTGGAGGAGGATGAGACATGAGGAGGAGGAGGAGGAGGAGGAGGAGGAGGAGGAGGAGGAGGAGGAGGAGGAGGTCGAGTGACATAACGAAAATGACGAGGATGAATACGGGCGGAGCGGCGAAGGGGGAGGCGCAGGAGGATGAGGGCGAGGAGGGGGAAGAGGAGGAGGAGGAGGAGGAGGAGGAGAAGGAAGAGACGTGGATCAGGAGGAGCAGGAATAAGATAACGAGGAGGTCGAGGTTGCAGTTACCCTGCCTACATCTCCTCGTTGTACTCATAATCGAACCTCACGAACGCGTCCTCATCCACTTCCTTCCGATGAGGAGGGTGAGGAATAGGAGGAGTGGGAGGAGGTGGAGCAGGCACGTCCTCGGCGTCGCCGTTCGCTGACTCGTCGGCCGCCTCCGCGCGCGAGTCGGGCCCCGTCGCCGCCGTGAACTCCTGTGGGGAGCACCGGCGAGCTGGGGGGGGTCGCGAGGTCAGAGTTCGGGGTGGTGGAGGGTGCTTCCATCGCATATCCATCGCATGTCCATCGTGGCCGATGGACGCGCGATGGATTGGTCGATGAAACCCCCTACGCCTCCCCGAACTCTGACCTCGCCCTGCCAACGCCCAAACCGACTTACTTTCTTCTGCTGCTGCTGCTACTGCTCGTCCTCCTTCCTCATCCTCCTCCTCCTGCCCCCTCCTCCTCCTCCTCCTCCTCCTCCTCCTCCTCCTCCTCCTCCAAATGCCCCCTTCCAATTGCATTCAAGCCCGATGTTCCTCGGGCTCCATCGTCGCCTTCATGAAGGGAATGAGCCACTGCGGGGCCTTCCTGGTCGGGTTCTTCTTGACCTTCAAGATCTGCTGGCTGACGTCTCTGAGCATGGCCCTCAGGCGTTTCGATTGTGATGATGCCCATCCTGATTTTTCTGGCCCAAGGTGCCCCTTGTCATCATTCTCTGTGGCAGCGTGAGAGAAAGCTTCGAATGCTGCGCCCTGCGTCGCGCTGCCGTTGGGGTACACCTTGAGCACTGCAACGATCGTGTCGAACTGCTTCGTCCGGATGTCTCTGTTGAGCGGGCCATTGCAGACGTCCCCCCTGCACGTGTAGCGCACGCTCGATGTCGCCATCGGCGTCAACAACTCCTTCAACTTCTCGGCGTCCACACCGTGGACGCGGCCGCGGATCGCATTGCCGTCGGCGTCGGCTGCGCATGCAGCGGCAGCAGGCCTCTTCCTTAAAGGAGTGGCCATGGTGCGTGTAGCACCACGCCGTTAAAAAAAGTAGCTTGAGTCAAAACGTCCAGCGACGCCACCCCGCCCGCCCCTCTCCTCGTTCCTCCTTCTCCTCCTCCTGGTCCCCGCCCCCCTTCTCGATTATAGCATGTCCGAAAGCTGAGCGGCCACCGCCAACTTCGATCGAGAAAGGCTGCGCACCTGAGCCCCGCCAGCTTGTGGGAAGAGGTGGCGCGCACACATGGATCCACCGCCGAGGCTGCGCGGATGGGCGAGTTAGGAACCTATCGTGCTGTCTGGTATACTGCGCAGCAATACGCAGCAACGCCAAGCAATGCAACGCAACCCATTGTACCGAAATGCCAAGCAACGCACAGCAATGCACAGCAATGCCACGAAACGCGAAGAAACTCAAACGCGCGCGCGTATCTTTACTTACACTAATCATATGTGTTTGAATGTTGCTTCAAGTATATACCAGTAATATCAACATGCGTGTTGTGATGTGAGGTGTGAGGTCTGGCTTTTGGAATGTTGACAAGTTGTTGTAACATATGTTTGAAGGGCACTTGGGTTCTTGCAGCCAGAACCGGGTTCTTGGAGCAAGAACCGACAGCTGGGTTCTTAACGCAAGAACCCTAGGACCTCAGGGCTGGGCCCGTGGAGCCGGCTGGGGAGAAAGAGGAACGGCGAAGAACCAGCTGGAGCTCTCGCTGGAGCTGCAGCTGGAGCATTCTGTCGGGCGCGATCCTCGCGACGGTGAAGGAGCGCAAGCGCGCGTGGAACCAAACGGGATCAGCCTCTTTAGTTAGAGCTCCCAGTAGGGCTCGATCTTCGCCAGAAATGCGCCGCCAAGGCGATGGGGGAGAGCCCCGGTCTGGAGGCCGGTCCGCCCCCCCCGGCCGGTCCGCTGGGCTCGGGGCTCCCCGGCCTGGAGGCCGGTCCGTGGAGCTCGGGCCCCCCCCGGCCTGGAGGCCGGTCCGTGGGGCTCGGGGCCCCCCGGCCTGGAGTCCGGGCCGTTGCCTGCTACTACTACTACCACTACTACTACGACTACGACTACGACTACTACTACTACTACTACTTCTACTACTACTACTACTACTACTACTACGACGACTACTACTACTACTACTACTACTACTACTACTACTACACTACTACTACTACTACTACTACTACTACTACTACTACTACTACTACTACTACTACTACTACTACTACTACTACTACTACTACTACTACTACTACTACTACTTACTGACTACTACTACTACTGACTACTACTACTACTACTACTACTACGACTACGACTACGACTACAACTACTACTACTACTACTACTACTACTACTACTTACTACTACTACTACTTACACTACTACTACTACTACTACTACTACTACTACTACTACTACTCCTACTACTACTACTACTACTACGACTACTACTACTACTCCTACTCCTACTCTACTCCTACTCCTCCTACCTACTCCTACTCCTACTCCTACTCCTACTCTATACTTACTACTATACTACTACTACTATACTACTACTACTACTACGACTACGACTACGACTACGACTACTACTTACTACTACTACTCTACTACTACTACTACTACTACTACTACTACTACGACTACTACTACTACTACGACTACTACTACTACGACTACTTCTACTACTACTACTACTACCACTACCACTACTACTAACTACCACTACTACTACTACTACTACTACTACTACTACTACTACTACTACTACTACTACTACTACTACTACTACTACTACTACTACTACTTGCGGTCTCGTGCGCCAGATTACCACGGCTCGACCACGCTGGGGCGAGCGTCCTGTGGCTGCCTCATTACCCGAGTCTGTAGCAAGCACCTGCGCGCGGTGCAAGGCAAGGCGGAGCGCGAATCGCGGACTGACGACGCTGCAGCGAGGCACCAAGGTGCGCCGAGGCAGACCTGGCCCAAGGTAATCCTACTGCCAGCGGGAAGCGCAGCACGCGGGGCGACCCCAGCGCCGCCCGACCCCTGTAGCACTGGAGGAACCAGGTAACTAGGGCCTACAGCAAGAAACAAGATGGGGCAGTCCAAGATGGCTGGTCACTTAGCTGGAGCTTCGAGGGCAGAGCGAGCGCGTGGCGTTAAACCAGCAACCCGCGGGGCGGCCCCAGCACCGCCGAGTAGCGCGAGAGCGCGCCAGGGAGGCGCATGTAGAGCCTCAGCGGGCCGCGAGCTGGTGCGCCAAAACGGCTACTGAAGTTGACGCGGCGCCGGGGCGGTGCACAGAGCCTGAGCAGGCGGGCAGCTACTCACTCACAGCGGGGCTTGAGGCCTCAGAGCCACTCGGTCTTGCCTGGGAGAACCTGAGATGGGGGTGCACGGACCTCTTCGCCCCGCTCGCTGCCCTCCACAGCGGGGCCGTGCAGCGCGGACTCGATGCCCGGCGGGGGCGCCGCAGTCGGCGGCGGCGCCTCCGCGTTGGCCGCCGACCACCGCGGCAGCCATCCCCACGTCCGCCCGCCCTCGGCCCGCCAGCGGAGGGAGCGCCCGGGGCGGCCCCGGCGCTCCCCCCGCCAACAAGGCTGCCGACGACCAGGTTGTGGCGCTGCTCGTTGTTCAGCACGGCGGCCTCGGCCTGCGTGATCTTCTCGCGCTTGAGCTTGTTCTTGGTCGTCTGCTGTGGCCCGCCCGCTCGGGGTCGTTCAGACCCCGCGCCACCTGCGCGCAGGGGTCGCACCAATTGAACTCGGGCAGGTTGGCCCACGCGAGGCCGTCCGCCAGCGTCCAGCGCCCCTCCCACTGCGGCTCCCCGGGCGCGCGCGGCTTGAACGCCGCACCGAGCGCCAGGGGCCCCACCTTGGGCAGGTGCTGCAGGAGGTCCGCGGGGCTAAACGCCACGATGTTATCCATCTTGAGCTTGTCCGCGCCAGGAGGGCCTTCAGGTCCTGGATGCCCTCCTCGGGGAAGTCCGCCTGCAGGTGCCGCGCCCGCGGCGGCTGGGCTTCGTGGTCGATCATTTCGATGCGCACGCCGCAAGTCGACTGGTAGCGGGCCCCGCAGTGGCAGTGCCAGCGCTGACCGCTGCGGCCTGCCGCCCCCCCCCCTCTAGGGTTAGGGGCTGCGGCCGGCGACCTGCGCGGGTGACGGCCCTGCAGCCCCCGGGGATATCCTGGGTCTTGCT